AGTGTGTACCAGTGAATTGAACAGTTCAAAAGTGGTCGAACGAGCGTGAAGAATGAGGAAAGAACCGGGTGCGCTGCTGTATCCCTAAATAAACTATTGAAATTGAAATGAAATATTGAACAAGTGCGTGCATTGATACTCAGTGACAGACGAATTACTGTTGATGAAGTGGCAAACCTTATGCACATTAGCAATGGTTCTGCTTAAGAAATAATGCACAACAGGCCGAACTTTCATAAAGTGTGTGCGAGATGGGTTCCGAAAAACTCAATGAAGAGCACATGCGCAATCGTGTGAAAATCTGTCGGCACTTATTGGATCGTCATGCTAACGAAGGTGAAACTTTTCTGAAACGAATCATCACTGGAGATAAAACATGGGTTCATCACTTCGAACCAGAGAGTAAACGGCAGAGCATGGAATGGAAGCATCCAGAATCTCCAGTCAAAAAGATATTTAAGAGTGAACCTTCTGCAGGAAAATTGATGCTCACAGTTTTTGGGACTCTCAAGGTCCAATTCTGAAACATTACCAGGAAAAGGGGTGAACAGTAAACAGTGAACGTTACAGTGAAATGCTGTTGAACAAGTTGAAGCCTGCAAGTCGCAATAGACGCAGAGCTCGATTGTCGGAAGGAGATCTCTTCTTGCATGACAATGCGCGTCCATATACCGCCACGCACACCCTTCAAACTCTTCAGAAGCTGCGTTTCGAGGTGTTGGAGCACCCCGCGTACAGCCCCGATTACCATCTGTTTGGTCCACTTAAAGGTGCGCTAAGAGACTGTCGATTCTGCCCCGATAAGCAGGTAAAGGAAGCGGTGCATACGTGGCTTGCTGCGCAACCCAAAGGTTTTTTTCCCCAGGGCATCGCAATTGAGGGATGATGCACCGATGGATCAAGTGCATTGAAAAGCAGGGTGACTACGTCGAAAAATGACATAAATAAAAATTGTGTACTTTTGTTGTAATAAATTATAAAAATTGATTGCAGATACTTATTGGCTTACCCTCGTACAATAATGAAAAAAATGCCGATGATATAAATTTTAACAACGTAAAAGAAGTTTTTTGAAATTGTAATTTTTAAGAAAACAAGATAATAGAGCAGTCTCTCTTAGCAGAACGTCTTAGACGCGAGGCTTGTGGATAGAGGAACATGTGATCGAATCCGGCAAAACCGCAGGAACTTTTACTTGATGAGAAATGAAAATCAATTCCAAATTTCTTTGTAGAGAATCTTCTAAACTATGCCTCTACGAGAAAAAAAACATTTTATCACATTTGCAATACCAAACTGCGCAAAGTTACTGTGGACGTTAATCAACAACTCGTTCAGAAGATCATTCATTTCACCATATTTTTCTTCACATAAGCCTTTATTTATTCCTGTCTCTCTGCGTCAAAACATTTTGTTACAACTCGATGAAACTGGCCACGATTTTAGCGAGTGGCCCACCTACGTGAAGCTGCAAAGCGAAGTTTTTGAGGAAGAATAACTTAGACAAACATCACGGGGAGGTACATGATGTCCGAAAAATGTGTCAAAACAAAAGGAAAATACTATACATTGTTTACTGTGTACGATGCCAAATGCTTGCTATTGCGACTCAATTTGATAAACAAAGTATACGGAATTTGTGGTTTGGAATGTCACGAACGCATTCTCTATCTCCTCCCGCCTCATCCTTTGAGGGCAAGGATTATTATGTCCAAAGACACATAGAAATATGTTTCCAATCTAAATCCGTTAAAACGTTAATTATGTTCAATTCAATGTCACATTCCTGATCGGACAGGAACATCTAAAGAAAAGCGTAAATGCTCAACGAGTGCAAGTCTCTTAGGACAGAAATATATTTTGAATATATACTTTAATTTAGCACTAGAATATAATTATA